ATACGATAGGAATTCGATGGTTTGGTGGAGCCCCAAAGCTCAATTAACTAAAAGTAACCATGTTTTAAGCAAAATGAATATAATAAATTATTGCGTCTTTAATTTCCTTTTCTATTTTTAATAACCTATGACGTATTAGGGGATATATATATATATATATATATATATATATATATATATATATATATATATATATATATATATATATATATATTCAATTTTCTATATTAGCAGACTACTTATTTTAGTTGCAGGCTACAAAATCTTACCTTTAGCACAAATAGAATAAAAATTAAAAATCTTTACGTACGACCATTTTTATAATTACACATTGCACTAATAGTAGTAATTTGTACTTAATAGGTATATTTTCAATCGTAAAATGGATGAAACAAAATCCATAGGAAAAATTCTTTTTTTTTTTTGTTCGGGGTTAACGAGACCAATACTTTTCTCCAGTCAGAACATAACTAATTAAGCTGGAATATAAAAATATGTGTGAAGTTCACACAACTTTGATATTTAAGGAAGAAATCGACCGCAACGAGCTAGCTGAACTTTCGGATCTAGTTAATATAATTTGATAAAATTTATACATACTTGATTATCTGTTTATCAAACCCTAAATACCCTCTAAATTTGAACCAAATCGAACGTGGGGTTTTAAAGATATAGAAGTGGCACGGAAAACATGTTTTCTCATATAAAACAGAAAGTTAAGTACGAAATTCAATAAAATTGATACAACATTGTGTTTTTATATTAAAACTACCTTTTGTGCAATTTTGAGCCAAATCTCAAAAATCAAAAGAAAGCCGTTTCTGAAAAATTGGCAAATCTAAAAAAAATACGTTTGCGCGTGCGTAAGCAGAAATCCTGGATGGAATTTATTAAAATTGATATGGGACGATCTAGGCACCAACCTGCACAATTCATAAAAATGTAATAAAAATAGGATTAACTTTACTAAGTAATATGCTCGTTACATCAATTTGACTACAGTCAGACAGGCACTGAACAGAATTTGATCCATCATGTCTAAACTGGAGTGGAAATTTTCGAATTTGAGCAGAACAATTTTTTTAATCTCTCGCATGAATAAAATGCTTCCCTACGTTCGGTAGTGAGGAAGCAAAAAAAATGTGAAAACGTGATAATGTTTAAATGAAAAAAAAAATGTACTGACCAAAGGAGCAAACTGGTTACAAATATTTTTTGGAAAAAATAATTATTCAGAATTTGGTTGTTGAACACTTACGAATTTTAGATATATACCAGAGTGTACTGGAAACGTGCAAATTCATTTATGGTTTTCCCAAAATTTTAATAATGATCATGGTCTAATTTCGACAGGGCGAATGTAGCTACATCAGGGGGGATGTAACTACAGGGCGAACACAAATTATCATAGAAATGGTTTAATTGTTAAAACTTAAACATGTGATAGGTATCCCAGGGCAATTAACTAAGAGGCATTCAGAAAGTTAAACGATAAGGGTAACATTTTAAGATTTTAAAACACCTCCGCGTCAAAATCTTTAAAATAACTTATTCCGTCTCAATTCTTAGAGTGGTAATAGAAAGTTATGTGATTCGCAAAACACGCCTGATATTTTATTATCATACTAGCTTTACCTGGGCACGCGCTGCTGTGGCTTCGTCTGGCAAATGAAGTGGCAAAAAGAAAGAAAATAGAGAGCACATATGAGTAGATTAATAGCAAAGGACATCTGTCATTTTTAAAAAGTTGGGAAACAAATTTGTCTGTAAAATGGCTTCAATTTAAACTAATTCTAATGATTTTTTTCTTCATGATTCAAATTGAACATTCATAATGATCTGAGTGAATACGCTGTCATTCATAATCATCAGAAACAGTCTGAGTTGAACTTATAAAACTAAAATAAAAAATTAATATAAAGAACGTATAATAGTATTGACCTACATAAGGAGAATCATATAACTTCTTCAAATGATAATTTCAATTACTGTAGTAATTATAACAATTTTCGATTAATGAATTAAAAAAAAAAATGCTTGCCTACCTTCGGTAGTGAGGAAGCAAAAGGAAACGGCCTTTCTGAAGAGAAAGCAGTAAATGTTTAAAACTCATATAACTCGCAACGAACCGTCCGATTTCGATGATTTTGTTTTTACTTTGTCAGCAATTCAGAAATCTTTCATATAAGTATAGGTATTATCCGTCAAAAATTCTGTACTTTTTTAGTTATCGTCAAATAAAATATTGAATTCATCGTAACATTTTCAGCTTTTTCGGAAAGTATGTTATACACATAAATTAAAAGGGTTTCAAGGGGAAGACTTTAGCCAAGTTTCGTTAAAATCGGTAAAGCCGTTTTGGCGCTACAGTTTATAGCGACACATTTTTTGCGGCTTTGAACAGAAAAACATTTACATTTTTATTTTTTTTACATATATAAAATTATCGTAAGACAGAAGTACTATGCCAGAAACCTTCCCAGGAGTGTACGGAACAACTTCCCAAAGTTTCGTGGCGATCGGATGAATGGTTTAGTAATGCACAAAGGACAAACAGACAGACAGACAGACATACATTAATTTGTATATATATATATATACTATCTGAAATAAAAAAGAACTGTTCCTAAACTGATTCGGGCATAGAGGCATGTCACAGAGATGGAAAAAAAAAACGTAACTGGACAAACGGAGCTGCATACCTCGACAACAATAAGTCCAGTCAGATCCTTCCCGAGGGAGAGCTCTCTTTTCCAACTTCTTTTGTAGGGACCGCTGTAGGGCAGTTAGGGGAAGTAGCGAACATTAATCTGCAAAAGTTGGGTCCCTGTTCCTTCGTGCCTCGCCCATCGTCACGAACATAACGTATGCTTTCTACTTCGTCCCTCATCTATGAATTTATGAGTTCACGTCGTATGTAACTGCAAGGAGGTGAGGGAAGCGTTGTTACTGAAAAGAGTAACGTAACTTTGGAAGGAATTGAAAACTGAAGCTATCATTTAAAAAATGCTGAAATTCTTATTTTATTTATTTATTTATTTAGACATATAATATTCTGTCACGGAGACAATAATTATATTGATAAATGAACACATTCACACCGTATATACAAAAAAAAATTAACAAAAGTAAAATAATAATAAATCAAAACTATATACAATAAAAAAAATAAAATAACCTAAATAACCTACTCTCTCAACCGCCTCACTGGTGCTAAAGCCGGTGGAGTTTGAGCGAGAGCGCTTTAGCCACATACACTCATGTCTTGAGTGGAGAATCTGGCCATTGCCAGAACTCCAAAATAAATACTATAAAAGATCTCTGGGCCACTGCCGCTTCAACCTTCGAGGAGGGTTGTAGGGATGAGTGGAACTAGACAGGGATTGTGCAAGAGGATTTGGATGATTGATAAGGTTCTGATGGAATTTTGAAAAATGTTCAGGGATAAGGTCAAGGACAAATGGGATATTAAGGTCATTATGTAGTGTTTTGTTGGTTACATAGAACGGAGCATCGACTATTGTTCGGAGGACTTTGGATTGAAAGGATTGGATGCGTTTGATGTTAGGGAATTTTGCTGTCCCCCAAAGTTCAATTCCGTAGGTCCAAATAGGTTTCAGGATTGTCTTGTAGATCAGTAATTTGTAGCCAATTGAAAGTTGAGATTTTCTGGTCAGTAGTCTGTATAATTGGCCGTATCGTTAAGTTCTTGTCTGAAATTCTTACAGTTAATAAGAGATAATCAAGGCCCGGTTTTTTATGCAGTAAAAACCCACCGAATATGCCATATAATATGCAGTAAAAAAAAAAAACCTAAAATATGCAGTAAAAATATATGAAAAATGCTGTAACTGGTCTCTATATGTAATAAAAAAACCTGTACCACTACAACCCATGAAGGGTCTGGGGTTCAGTACTATTTAGGGAAAGCACTGTTTCTAGGTCAACGGTTGTGCAAGGAGGTGATTTGACCGAGATCACGCTCAACCGCCAGGTTTTTCCCCTTAATTAATTATTTAATTAAGGGTACCCACTTTATAGAGGCTGGGTGTGCCCCAGGAGGGACTCCTGACCCAGGGTCGCTCCACGGCCAATGAAACGGATAAATAAATTATCTGCCATGAGCCGGGGTTCGAACTCGGGACCTTTGCATTGGAAGCTCAGTGCCCTACCACTGAGCTACCCCTCTCCCTCTCTATATTTAATAAACTTACTAATTACTTGATTATTAATATGACCAATGACGTACCTACAAAAAGTTTAGAAACGAAAAGAAATTATAGAGGGTTGAAAATTACAATAATTTCATATTGCTTTATTATTTTTAATAATGAACCATTGTGATCGACCAAAAAATTCAAAAACCCTAACTGCCTGATCTTAAAATTTGAGGTTTCACGTTGCAGGATATGTAGAATTCGAAAAACGAACAAAATTAGTTTTGTCCATCCGCCGTCCGCACATTTTCTCCAAAACTACTGGACCGATTTTTTTCAAATTTGGCTTTAAAATTAGAGGTCGCCCGAGGATGATCCTCGTTCATCGAAATTACTATCCGCCTTTTACTTTCAAAATGGCGACCCAAAAATCTGCATTGCTATATACTGTAGGGCCTAAATGAATGTACCGATTTCAATGAAACTTTTAAGGTCATTTTCTCGACGCCCTTTAAATTTGTCTGCATAACATACTTTAACGAAAAGAAGCTGGAAAAAAGTTACGAAGGGTTTTAAAATTAAATTCAGAATAACTAAAAAAGTATACACTTTATTGTACTTTAGTACAATTACTTGTACTTACTTTATGAATGTCTAAAGTTTACAGAATTTCCTAAAAAAAAAAAAAAAAAAAAAAAAAAAAAAAAAAAAAAAAAAAAAAAAAAAAAAAAAAAAAAAAGGAGAATTAGGAGCAAAGATATGGTAAAATTCAGGAAGTGGGCCTATGTATTAAGGAGGGGGTATGTATTAAGGAGGAATGAATTAACATGGACCAGACAGTTTATGGATTGGTATCCAAGAGATCACGTGAGGAAGAGAGGACGCCCGCCGACAGACTGGGACAAGGAGATGAAGAAGACCTGCGGGGGAACAGCCTGGAAGAGAGTAGCATTAGAGAGGAAAGAGTGGAAAAGGATGGGACAGGTTCATTACCTAGTGTGGTTACAAGAAAGTTAAGTAAAAAAAAATAAAGAAAGAAAAAAAGAAATCAAAATCAAAACCTCAACTAAAATGTTGATTTTGTATATATCTATTTTTTATCTAATTTTTGTCTGCATTGTATGTACAAATTAATGTTATTATTATTATATACATATTTAAATCTTCAACAATTAGAATACATACTGAAACGAATGAAGTTATGGGCTAAAAGGCAAGCAACAAATAATGATATACGCGCGATTCATAGCTGGCTTTAATTTATTTGTTAAACAATATTTATGTATTCATTGAAGAATAATACATTCTGCCACAGCCAAGGAAAACAGGTATTAGAGCTACAGGCAATGAGCCATTTATTACTTACAAGAAAAAATACATAAATAATTAAAAAAAAAAAAAGCATAAGTGAACAAACAAGTAATATAAGAACTTCACAAATAAAAGAACGACAAAATCAGTATATAGAAAAAATTAATTAAAGTTGAATAAAAAAATATATACATATTTTTCATTATTGGTAAATGGTTGACTGTCGTGGATAATGAAGAGAAGAATAGTTGGGGTGGTCAGTCAAAAAGGAAGGCAAAAATAAATGATAATATTTATTTTTACATATGCCGACGTTTCGACCTGAAGTTCAGGCCTTCATCAGGGCTAAGAAAATAACCAGATAACAAGGTATGAGAAACATAAGTAGTGATGGTAAAAAAAAAAAAAATAAAAAAAATAAAAATAAATAAATATAAAGTAAAATGAAATTGTTAGAATAATGACTAAGAACTAAGAGATAAATAATAATAACCGTTACAAAGTGTGGAATGATGAAGTAGGCATAATCAAAAAGGGTGACATAAGTGTTACAATGGGAATCTTAGAATAAAATGTAAAACATAAAAAAGAAATATGAAGTTATATAAGAAATGAAAATAAATAGTAAAATTAAGACATTGAGAATGGAGTAGTTAGATAGAAAATTGAGATATTGTAAAGTCTATCAAGATGTACAGACAATGTATAATATAATAAAGAGTTAAAAACAGAGAAAAGGAATGAAAGGAAGGAGGGAAGAAATTGAGAAAGCTGAAATAAGAAAGAAATAAAAGAAGTACTACCTGTCTCCATAAGTGTTATTTTCTTAGCCCTGATGAAGGCCTGAACTTAGGTCGAAACGTCGGCATATGTAAAAATAAATATTATCATTTATTTTTGCCTTCTTTTTTGACTGAACACCCCAACTATTCTTCTCTTCATACATATTTTTCGCTCATTCATTTGAGTGTATATTCTAATTGCTGGAAGTTTCAGTATACAATACTCATTTTACATTTTTTTTTTTTTTTTTACAATTTTAACCTGTTTATTTTACTGTAGGGCATAAAATTGTAAATAATAGTCTAGAAAGCTTGTGAAATTATCGGGTTATTAATACATATATACATACATGTACCTATATATAGGAATAGACGATTTATTAAGCCGACAGAGCTCCTATAGCCTAGCTATATGAAACCACAAGAGGCAATATATAGCCTTCGGCATCAGCGATGTAAACTACGGACAGGACAGCAATAAAGTGAACCTCTGGTCTGATCCAAGGGTGTGCAGTTCGTCCAACAGGGATATAGTCCGTTCGGCATTAATTGAGTCCAAGTTTATCGAGGGCAGTGCATTGCGATACATTGTACAATTGAAATGTATTGAAAGAATATTTTGTAATTAATGATGTTACTCAAAGTAAAAATCAAAAAATTATTACAAAATTATTTCTTATTTTAAAAAGATACAATATAAATCAAATGTGTGTGGCGTTTTACAAAACATTCTTTATCTCTTCTTGAAGAAACTAAGCACGTAAATTTCCTTCATAATATTCTTAATTTAGTAAATCGAATTATTTTAAAAAAACAATAATTAGTCCATGGTACAGACCCTTTTTTATGAAATTACTAACATCCGTCTCAAACTTCTTGAATAGCTTCACCTCATCCTAACTTACAACGATCTAAAACTCTTGGAATTAGGGCGTTTTCAATCTGGAGGTCGGCAAACTTTGTCTCTTTAATTCGCAACTAAAAACTAGTAAATACATATTTGCTTTTCACTTGGATCATAAGATAATTCGATTATAAAATGGAGGGAAAAGGTAGCCTACAAAAATATAGGACCGTTTGGTCTATATAACCTCGTTATTTTGACATTTTGGGGCTGTAGATCATGCCCAATGGCTTCATATTTTTAACGGCCTGTTTTCTCTAGATTTTTGTGCTGAAATCATCTTACGATTGAAGTGGAAATTGTAAAATCTTAAATTCTAAGAGGAGGATTTTAACTTGTTTTTTCTTGTTCGATTATAATGATTCATTATTGAAAATATTACATTGAAAATACAACATCTCAGTCGAAGAAAGACTTGATTAAAAACACCATGTTTAAAATCAAACTTTTGATGTAATATATGTCAGTTATATATAGGTTATTTTATTTATAATTGTTTTTGCATAACACTCTATGCTTAACTTTAACTTTTATTATGATATTTACAACTATATTATTATGAATACATCAAGTAAATGTGTACAGAGGAATATTATCACATGAAATACGCTTGTTGAGAAACTACCCATTGGTAGCACTCTAATAATTTGTCTACATGAGAAGATCACGAGACCATCTTCTTTTCAGACGCCTCGGAGGGTTATCAGGAATCGAAGAGGAAGCAAGGTTAGAAACAAGAGGATTCGGATGGTTATGAAGTTTATTATGGAAGGATAGGTATCTGGATTTGGCCAAATCGGAAACATATGGAACATTAAGGTCTTTATGGATTATTTTATTTGTGACAAAGTAAGGAGCATTGAAGATTTTACGAAGGATTTTGGATTGTAAAGATTGGATACGAGAGGAATTTGACGGTTTAGTGGAGCCCCATAGCTCAACTCCATAAGTCCAAATAGGTCTTATTATAGTCATGTATATGAGTCGTTTGTAATTCATTGGAAGTTTAGAGCGTTTGTCCAGTAAGTGTTGGAGTAAGCGGAAACGTCGAGCAGTTTCTTGTCGTTTCAGTCTTGTATGAGGATTCTAAGTGAGACGTTTGTCCAGCTGGAGTCCTAGGTATCGGATCTGTTCTACAGGGATAAGTGGGGTGTTATTAAAGGATACTATAGGACAGCAAGTCATTGGTTTACGACGAAGGGTAAAGGTGATTTGATGGGTGTTAACGCCGCATAGGCTTATTTCTTAATTTTTTCATTATTATTTTCTCTCACATTTACCTCTTTTCAATGTTAACAATAAAATGTTTATTTTTTATTTTTGTAAAAGTTTGAGGGACAATTGTTCCTAAAATGTATTTAAGTTTATATTATAGTTTATATTTGGCTTCGTTTGGGATGTATTATCGCGTGGTATATACACACCAGCCCGGCAGTAATACCCTGTCTTAAGGATTAAGACTTCAAAATACGGCCGGGGCAGTGTGGAGATAGCTCTTGTCGACATTAGACCCATGTAGTGGAAGTCTACCCCCACCAATCTCACCAAGCTCCAGGCCGTCTGATCTCGCAACATCTCACCTAGCGCCATTTTCGAGGATCAGCTGTAGTAATCGATACATATCGATACGACCTCACCATCGATTACTCGGTAGCTGGAGATCGGAAGGTAACAGGTTGGAGGCAGAACCTCCAACTTGGCTTGTTGTGTTTATTATTCTCACCAAGACATTTGAACATTTAGTTAACTGTTTTCTTCCCTAAATTTGTTTTATTCTTTTAGAAAATTCTCTTGTTTTATTTACAATTTTAGAAATTGATTTTTTTCTTTATTGATAATAGTTATTTTAGTTAATTATATTTTCTCTGGATGTTGTATTTATGTTCTATTTTTCTCGTAGCTTTTAGGTATTGTTTATCTCAACTTTTTATAAATTTATATCTCTTTTTCTTTCTCAATAAATTGTAAACATTCAAAAGGGGATTTTTTTATTTTCCATTTTTTATTTATTGAAATATTTCTATTTTTTAATATTCTCTTGTGCATGCTTTTGTTTTTTTTCTTTAATGTTCTACAGGTCTCATTATTCACTAATTTTTTTTTTCTCCTTCTTTCCCAACGTTTTTAATTTCACTCGAATTTTCCCCACCATTGAGGAAACGCACCGGGGAAAGATCTGTACTTCGAATTTGAAGTACCCCTGACCCCAACAATGGGATTTATTGGAATTTATTTTAATCCTCCAGTTTAATAGTGTTTTAAGTAAATGTTATTTTCAATTATTTTTTCAACTGCTACAAGTAATGAAAATAAGTGAGTCTGAGAAGAATTCTTGCAGTAGCGTCGAACGGCTTTAGGGAGAGGAGTGCTCAGCGGAATCCATTTCTATCTTTTTTTAGTATAATTTTAAAGCGAAAAGATCCCTCATCTAGCTTCTTTTGAGCCTCCTGACAGTGGGCATGTTAAATATGTTCATATCTTGTACGAGGAAGTTAGTTTGTATATGTAAGTTAACGAGAAATCTTCTGTAGTGTATCTGTATGTAATCTATAACTGTTGGCATATGAAGGTCTTTATATAATGTTCCTTATATAATAGTCCTAAAAAGTTTTGACTAAAAATGCAGTTTTCGTATGTGGTTCATTCCGTAAATTTGTATAGGCAGGTTCCAAATGGGCTTAAGTAAATGTTTTAAACGTCTTGAAAGAAGTAAGTATAATAACCGTAGTCAGACCTGGAACAGTTCCCCTATCCTCATTGAAGATAAATAGCAGTTACTTCATCGTTTATTTAGTTACCCCACAACCCAGAACACAGAACCGGCCGCCATGGACGGGTGACCGTCCATCAACTGCAGCCTAAGAATAAAGACCCGAGGCAGGGTGTTACGTCAGTCCGGAGGATGTTCGACGAGAGGAACACTGTACGGCCCTTGTAGCGAGTTGGTCAACAATAGCGTTTCGAAGAAGGGGTCTCGATTGATTATTTCGTTTTACCAGGAATATAGCGACAGTTTACGAAATCAAAATATAGTGTTTTTTTAACAGTAAATATAGTGTTACGGTCCTCGGGTTCCGTCTTCGGTATTCGTCTTGACAACGGTATTCGACGAATTTCCATATTCGTCTTGACTGCCAAGCGCCCGGGTTGTTTATTAATTATAAGGCTTAGCGAACCGGAAGGTTCGATGCCGACACCACCAATCGCTTGTTACACACCTCCCTCCACCGTTCGCCGTCCAAACCCAGTCCCTTCAGATCGGCTTTAATGCAATCTTCCCACTTTCGCTTCGGTCTACCCCTCGGACGCTTACCATTCGGCACAGCAAATATTAACCTTTTAGGAATTCTCTCGTTACTAAGCCCAACAACTTTACAAGCCCATTTGATTCGCCGCGATGAAATTACATCAATTATATTACCCGGATACAGCTCACGCAATTCGGCGTTGTGTAACCGTCTGAACTCTCCGGTTAACTCATCCTTCTTCGGTCCGAATATTCTACGCAATACTTTATTTTCAAAAACCTTAAGACGCTGCTCATCCCTTAATGTAAGCGGCCAAGTTTCGCATCCATAAAGAACTGTAGGCAAGATAATTGTTTTATAGATTCTAATTTTTAAGTTTCGAGACAAAAGGCGCGAACTAAGTAGTTTTGTCACAGAAAAATAACAAGCATTTCCCGCCTTCAGCCTAACCTTAATCTCTTCTTCAATTTCGTTTTTTCTAGTTATCGTAGAACCTAGATACCTAAATTTATATAACTGTTCAAACATATTACCATCTATATCGATATCACCAGTAGTATCGCCATTTTTGCAGCTAACCATATATTTTGTTTTATCCACGTTTATTTCGAGTCCTAGTTCTTTACCGGTTTTCATTAACGTTGTCGTATTTAGTTTTATAGTTTCAACGTCTTCGCTTAACAGTACCAGATCATCAGCATAGCCCAGCACGGATGTTGTCCCGCCCAGATCCAACCCTTTCTCGGTTCGCATTACCTCCCTAATGGCATGTTCTAATGCCAAATTGAACAGTACAGGCCCGGGTTGTTTAGAAGATTTAATTATTTATTTATTAGTTACACATATTTCTGGCTCACAATAAATTTGCCAACTACCTCGGTATTCAGCAAATATGATTCCAAGGAGAATAAATTATAGCATAAAAAAAAATTAGTAATAACAAAACTAAAAGACAAAAAAAAAAAAAAAGATAATGCAGAAAGTAGCTCAATGCAATAAGTCTCTTGGCCAGCGCCTTAGTAGTCTTCTGGGGGGATTATATGGATTTGTGGCAGTAGATAGAGCTTGAGTAAGTGGATTGGAATTTAGAGTCAGTCTGTCATGAAAATTATTAAAGCGGTCTGTGGCAGTTGCCGTGATGAAAGGAGTGTTAAGGTCTGTGTGTAACGTAAGGTTTGAAACATAAAAGGGTAAACATACAAACGTAAATAAGCATTATATTTGATCTAAAGCTGTAGGACGTTGGGGAACGATACCACACCAAACTGATAAAAATAATTTCTCTACGATATCATAATTCGGGGGTATGATACATATTCCTGCCGTGACAGGACAATGTACATTCGTGGTGATTGAGATAATGTTTGGAACGTTGGTAGTCAATTTGTAGATCATCTTTATCATAAAAAATCTGGTGCGCGCAACACACAACTTTCACTTACCAACTTTGTATAGAAATCATTTTCTGGCCATGTTGGGCTATTATAAAATTTTTGACCCCTCCTAGGGGTCTGAAAAGAAGATCGCCAAGGGACCTACTAAATTAATTTATCTTTGAAGTGTTACCAAAGCTTCTTCACAAGTACCTTCATCTAATATATTCCTATAGCAAATTTACTGGTTGTATATATGTTTACAGTTAAAAATTTTAATAAAATAGTAAAATTGAAAAACAAAAATTCAGTTTTCAAATTATTTCTAAAGTTCTATTCAGCATTTTTCTTAACTCTCCATAATGTGAATAAATTGATTATTTTAACTAAACGGTTTAAAGGTACTTTTGAGGAAGACGTATATGAACATTCGGTATTTAAGCCCTGTAACGAGACATCAATGGGGATAATACCTAAAGACCACTTAATTATACAATGGTACACCGAGTTTAATCAAAATCGTTAGAGCAGTTTTTGACAAAATTATAAAAATTCTTTTCAGCGTTTATACAAAGTAGCACTTGTAATATTATTTTCGTACGACTTTTCGTTTTTGAGCAAGACTGGTAACATACAAACATACAGACATACATACCATTTTGCGGGACTTGGTTATTTGGACTCCGGGTACCTCAAAACGTTTATTTCTGTTGTAAACTCAGATTCGAAAAAATTCACGATTGCAATAATTTTCCTTCCTATATATTACATTTTTTTTTTTTTTTGATCTTTTGGATTTTTCATTGATCAAAACCTCTTTTGGAATCACCATATTTCTCATATCACTCGACGGACAATTTCCACCCCTAAACTATTCCATCGCTTCCGCCATCTCCTACCTCAACATACGCGTAGACTCCTAGTTTCCTCTCTCATTTTCCCCCACTTTGACTATAGCTGTGTGGTGTATGATGGCCTCTCTGTGGAGCTCCGTGATAGACTGAAAAGACTAATGAACAGCTGCGTAAGATTTGTGATCGGGGCCCTAAGATACTCCCATGTTTCTCACCACTACGCTGAGTTAAAGCGGCTTTTCCCCTCCTTCCGAAGACAATATTTCCTAGGTACGTTCCTCTACCAAATCATCAACAACCATCGTCCTTCTTACGCCTACAACCATCTTCAGTTGAAATCCTCAGTCAATTCCCTGTCCACAAGATCTCGACCTTCTAACCTTTACATGCCTTTTCACAGATCTGCCTCATTCCAAAATTCCTTTATTGTTCGCTCTATCAATTTCTGGAATTCCCTCCCTATCAAAATTCGACATGCCCCATCCATATCCACATTCAAAACCCTTCTATTCCAATTCCTATCCCAAAAACAGTCAGATAGTTGCTAACCATTCGAGCTGATTTTAATAGAGAATTTGATACATTTTTATTTTTTAATTCTTTATTTTTTTCGTAAAAGTGTACACTGGTCTATAAGAGCAAACAGCTTTAAGTGTCTTGTCATAGTATTAATGGTTTTGTATATAGTTTAGTTTGTTTTGTATATAGAATTTTTACCTTATATTTTTTTTACATTATTTCTTTTTTTCAATTGATTTTATTTTAGCCAGATGTAATATATTAATTTTGTTCTATTTTGTTATTCTCAAGGGACTGTGTCCCAGAATAAAGTTATTTTTCTATCTATCTATCTATCTATATAGGTAAGTGAAATTAAAAACATAAGAACAGACAAACAAATGTAAACCAGAATTCTCTAGCGTTAATTATCAGCTGTTTGGTTTCCATAACGGACCAACCTCACTCCAAGAACGGTACACTAACCTTAATCCTCGATGACGCGCTGTCAATGAACTGATGAGGTTTTAATAAGAGTAAATGCGAATACAATACAGTCGCATCGGATATCGTTTAGTAGGAAGAAGGCGTATTACGGTGGCAAGAAGGCGTATTACGGTGGCAAGAAGGATGCTATCACAACATTTTAAAGCTGTTTGGCCAATCAGGAATACCTAAACCTCTGTTAGTTATGACAGATTATTTACCCCAAAGACATCTTTCAACCCTATTGATTTAATTTATGAATCATTTATAAAATTTAAAGTTACAGAAAAAAAAATCCGGTGCGCGCAACACACAACTTTCACTTACCTAACTACTATGAATAGAAATTATTCTCTGGTAATGCAGGGCTATTATAAATTTTTTTGAAGTGCATTTTAAACGGAACTAAAGCTTAAAGCTTACAGATAACAAGTCATTAAGACCGTTACAATTACAAAATGCCTATTTAATATATCGACGACAGGTAATAAAATCTAGTCACTCCATCTGCTTTTATAAACCACACAACTTTCTTTGCTTTTTCAGAATGACTAGCTCCAATTTTAAAATTTTTGAGTGATGTAATTTTAGTGATATTCTTAGTTGAAAAATTACCAATACAGAACATGACTAAGTTGATTAAGAATAATGGTATAAATTTAGATACTTATTCCTTATTAAAAATGTTCTTAGGAAAAATACTTTATTAAATATCTGTAGAAAAAATGTTTTTTTAGTCTCAACAATTAAAAAAGTATATTTTAAACTTATCCGAATTCCTCCTAATTGTCCGATCTTAACGATTTTTTTTTTTTTTTTAGGAAAATTCTATAAACTTTTAAAAAACCATTTTTAAGGAAAACGTTGCCGTCACATTTAAGGCATATACCTATTTAAAATACGTAATATTAATTTCGTAGGACTTTTTGTTTTTGAGCTATACTGCTAACATACAAACACACAGACCATTTTTCGAGATTTAACAATTTTCTCGGTCACAATACTTATCCTTACTATATATTACATATATACGTAAGTGAAAGTAATAATGTCTAAGTATGAACTTAAACTAAGAGAAAACCAAGTATATGGTTTGTGAAAAAATAAGGCAAGTAGGGGTAAAAATAAAGATCGGAATTTATATGTTTGAATAACCGGTATTTAAATTTACATTTATAAGGTTCACACGTAATATAGATTTGGATAGGGGTAGCAATTAAAAGCAGAATAGTTAGTTACCAAGTAGTTTGAAATAGTCACCCATAGATATTACTTTCAGTGGACAAAGTAGATCAGTGAGTAAGGCGCTGGGCTCTGTGTACCGAGTTCGAGTCCGGATATTATAAGTTATATAAGCCGTGGATTGACCATGGACTCAGTAAGCCCTCCTGAAGCTCACTCAGCTTCTTTAATGTGAATGTTCATAAAAAGATAATTAACTAAGGAGGAAAACCTTGCGGTTGAGCGTGATCTCGACTA